GCAACAAACAAAGAAATATAGTTGGGTGTGGTGACACACATCTGTAACCCTAGTACTTGGGAAGCTGAAGCAGAAAGCATTTGAGGCCAGTCTGGGCTACACAGTGAGTCTCCGATTTGTTGTTTTTTTTTTGTTATTGTTGTTGTTTGTTTGTTTGTTTAAAAAAAAAGAGGCTGGAGAGATGGTTCAGAGGTTAAGAGCACTGGCTATTCTTGCAGAAGACCCGGGTTTGATTCCCAGCACCTACATGCAGCTGACAACTGTCCATAACTTCAGTTCCAGGGGATCCGATGCCCTCTTCTGACCTCTGTGGGCCCCTGCACAACACAGGTGCACTTACATGCATGCAGGCAATACACATAAAATAAAAATAGACGAAATATTTTTTAAAAAATGAAAAAAGAACAAGAACAGAAGAGCGGCAAGAACAGAATCACTGTTGTGGCTGGAGAGACGGCTCTGTGGGTAAGAGCACTGGCTGCTCTTACAGAGGACCTGGGTTTGATTCCCAGCACCCTCACGGTGGCTAACAATCATCTGTAACTCCAGTTCCAGGGAAATCCAACACCCTCTTCTGACCTCCATGGGCATTTCATGACACAGGTGCACTTAACACACATGCAGACAATACATTCATACACATAAAATAAAAATAATTTAAAAAAAGAATAGAATCATCATCAACCAGACTTTATAAAAAGAATAAACTTGTGCTCCAAAACACTATTATTGCTGTCATGGTGGTGCACACCTGTGATCCCAGCACTTTGGTGATGGCAAGAAAAATCAAGTGTTCCAGCCCAGGAGCCAGCAACATGGCTCAGCTGGTAAAAGGACTTGTGGGGTAAAGGTACTGTTCCATCACAAGCCTTATACCCTGAGTTCAATTCCTAGAACCCATATAAAAGACCAGAGAAGAGACTCCACAAAGTTTTCCTCTGACCTCCACATTCATGCCATGGCAGATACCCCCTCCCCAAAAAAAATCATGCACATACACATAATTGTAACTGAATAAATAAAAATTTTAAAGGAATTCCAGTCAATAGTAAGACCCTACTTAGACACACACACACACACACACACACACACACACACACACACAAAGGGCTTGGGAGATGGCTCACTGTGGTAAAGGTTCTTGCTACCAAGACTGATGACTTGAGTTAAGTCCCTGGAAGCCTCATGATAGGAGAGAACCTGGACCTGCAGGTTGTCCTCTGACTCCGGCACTCATGTTGTGGTGTGCGCACACACACACACACACACACACACACACACACACACACGTCTACACGAAAGGACAAATTCTGTATGATTTCACTTCTTTCATGTATTTTTGGTCACATTCATAGGGACAGGAAGTAGCAGCATGCTACTTTGTATCCCCTTTGCCTGGGGAGAAGGAGGAGTGGGTTCTCAAATGAGTATGGAGTTTAGGAAGATGAAAAGTTCTAGAGGTGGACCATGCTGATGACTGTACATCACCATGAATGTACAGAATACTACTAAACTTGTATTTTTAAAATGTAACGTTGAGCTGGGCGTGGTGGCACACGCCTTTAATCCCAGCACTTGGGAGGCAGAGGCAGGTGGATCTCTGTGTGTTCAAGGCCAGCCTGGTCTACATAGTGAGTTCCAGGACAGCTGGGGCTACAGGGAGACCCTGTCTCAAAAAGACCAAAAAAAAAAGTAATGTTGAAATGGCTGGACATGGTGGCACACCCCTTTAATCCCAGCACTTGAGAGACAGATGTAGACAGATCTCTGTGAGATTGAGGTCAGCTTGGTCTACAAGGAGAGTTCCAGGCATATCAGCATTAAAAGGAAACCCTGTCTCAAAAGGGGGAGGGGGGAAGGTTAAAATGGCTATATGATATATATTGTATCACAATAAAGAAAAAAAAATCAAGGCAAGCATAGCGCACACCTGCAATGCCAGCACACAAGGCAGAAGCAGGATAGCTGCAGGTTCCAAGCCAGCCTGGTCTACACAGAGAGCCACAGGCCGGTCGGTGCTACATAGTAAGATGTCTCAAGACAAAAACAAAAATCCCCAGACGTGATTAGCCACTGAACACATTTTTAGCATTGACCCACTTCGAAATAATCCATTTTAATCCATCTTTTTAAAATTTTGTTTTGTAACCTAAAATTTTTCCCTTTTTCTTGATTAAAATTGTATCAAATAATTCTATTATAGTGCCATTTAATAAGTAAATTATATTTCTGTACATAAACTTTGTTTTTTTTTTAAATCAAGAAAGTAAAAAGATAAGGCTGGAGATATGGCTCAGTGATTAAGAGCATTGTTGCTCTTGCAGAGGACCTGGGTTCGATTCTTAGCACCACAAAGTGGATAACAATCATTGTAACTCCAGTTCCAGAGTATCTGACGCCCTCTTCTGACCTTCTTGGGCATTGCACAATACAGGTGTACTTACATATATACAGGCCATACACTCATACACATAAAAAATAAATAAAATATTTTTAAATGAAAGCAAAAAGATAAAAGTAAAAATATTTGTATATTGCGTATGTGATAAGGGACTACATATTGATTCTTTTATTATCATAAAGACAAGTAACTCATTTAAAAGTTAGGCAAAAGAATTAACTAGACATTTCTCCAAAAACATAGAAATAGTTAATAAAGCTGAGTATGTTGGCACACACACATAGAATCCCAGCACTCAGGAGGCTGAGAAAGAAAGACTGTGTTTCCAGATCAGCCTGGGTTACACAGGAAGACCAGATCTCAAAACAAACAAACACCAATCAAGGGCTGTGAATGTAGCTCAGTTGGAAGAGTACTTGCCTAGCATGCATGAAGCCCTGGGTTCCAACCCCAGCACTGCAGAAACCAGACATGGCACATGCCTGTAATCCCAGCACTTGGGAGGTGAAGCCAGGACAATAGGGATTTCAAGGTCATCCTTGGCTAAACAGCAAATCTGAGGCCAGAATGGGCTACATGAGACTCTGTCCCCCCAAAAAAGTCATTCAGTACTTGAAAGATGTTCAACATCATTAGTCGCACTCACTATTCCCACGTGATCTCTCATCCAAGTTCTAACCATGCCCAACCCAATCACTTTTTTTGGTTCAGCAAATTTTAATGTAGCCTGGGCAACACTGTAAAATGGATTAGGCCTGTGTGACCCAGCTAGACTCCTGATTAGCCTCTGAGATCACTTAAGATCAAGCACAGTTTGGATGGCAGGCCCCTTGACAGCATGTCACTCTAGATCTACCCAGACCAGTATAAGTTTGAAATTTTCATAACACAAACTTTTATTTTTTAAAATATTTTATTTATTATTTTTTTTTATGTGCATAACACAAATTTTTAAAAATTAGACTGTCACCAACAGCAAGGCATGATGGTGTACACCAATAATCCCAGGACACAGGGCATGACGGTGTATGCCAATAATCCCAGGACACAGGGCATGACGGTGTATGCCAATAATCCCAGGACACAGGGCATGACGGTGTACGCCAATAATCCCAGGACACAGGGCATGATGGTGTATGCCAATAATCCCAGGACACAGGGAGGATGACGCAGGAGAATGACTGTAAATTTAAGGCCAGACTGGTCTATATAACAAGTTCCGGGTCAGTCAAGTCTACACAGCAAGATTCTACCTCCAAAAAATAAAAACAAATCCAAAATTTAAAAAAAAAATGCAATTTTTAAACTCCAAATTAAGAAGGACGATAATATTCTTACTTTTGAGCAATTCGAATCTTCTTCTTTTTGACTGTCAGGTCCTTCATAGGTATTTTCCATTAGAAGTTTCCGTAGCTTTTTTAGTTTAGGTCTGCATCTTCTTAATTCCCAATAATTATTAGAAAAACCAAAGATCTGGAAGTCATAATGGAACACAAGCCTTTAGTCACTATTCAAAAAGAAAATCACAAAGAACATTCCATATTTGCTCAAGAACAGAGAAAAGAAAGCAAAGGCGTTCTGCCTGCTCTTGGACAGGGACTCTTCCTTTCATCCACCTCAACTGAAGGAATGGGCATCCTCAGCAAGCATCTTCATAAAGCCCAATTAAGAAAGCACTGCCAGGTCTGGAGAGAAGGCTCAGAGGTTAAGAGCACTGGGTGCTCTTGTAGAAGACCTGGGTTCAATTCTCAGCACCCACATAGTGGCTAACAACCACACATAACTCCAGTTCCAGGGGATCAGATGCCCTCTTCTGACCTCTGCTAGTATTGCACGACATGGGTGCACTTACATACATGTAGGTAATACACTCATACAGATAAAATTAAAATAATAAATAAAATATTTTTTTTTAAAAAGAAAGCACTGCCAGATATAGTGGCACAGGTGCACCCCTTTAATCCCAGCACTCAGGAGGCCAACACAGATGAATATCTGTGAAATCATGGCCAACCTAGTCTACATAGTGAGTTCTGGGAGACCCTGTCTCAAAAAACTGAAAAGAAAGAAAGAAGGAAGGAAGGAAGGAGGGAGGGAGGGAGGGAGGGAGGGAGCAGGAGGGAGAGAGGGAGGGAGAGAGAGGGAGAGAGAGAGAGAAAGCACTGCCAATAAAATGACTATCAAATAACTATCAGCAATAGCATCCCATCTCAAGTGTACCCCAGTAACTAACTGGAGTCTCACCAGAAAAGAATGGCCAGGATGGCGACAATTCCACACACTGGATGGAAACAACTAAAAATGAAAATACTTACAGTGAAAAATGTAAAATGAGTAAGAGAAACGCCAGGCACGGTGGTACACACCTATAGTCCTAGCACTTGGGAGGTGGAGACAAGAGTCAAGAGTTCGAGGCCAGCCTGGGCTACATCACAAGACCCTGTCTCAAATATCAAGAGGCTGGGGATGTAGTTCAGTTGATAGAATGCTTGTCAAACATGCATGAAAAGCCCTGGATTCCATCACCAGCCTGCATAAACCAGGCATGGTTGGTACATGCCTGTAGTCCCAGTACTTAGGAGTTGGAGGCAAGATAGACCAGGATTTCAAGGTCATCTTCAGCTATAGAGCAAATTCTAGACTGAACTACATGAGACTCTGTCTCAAAAAACAAAACAACTCCCCCATACACACACGTACACACACGCACAGATTATTGAAATTCCTCTATTCCAATAATACCACATGAATCACTTCAACTTTCCAGCATGTTTGCTTCTTTCCTCTTCTATTTTTAAGGAAACAGCTGGCTTGAAGTCATTCTGAAAGAATTAAGGGCTATTCAATTGTTGTATGTGTGACAAAAGAGACAGGTTGGAGACTTTTGTTTGGTAACTACCATTAGCATTTTCCAAAACATTAACAATGTGTTACACTTGGCTACATACATTAAAAACTAACCCAACTTCAAAGCTAAGAAACATACTCCCTTCAAATCTCTAATTTCTTCATTTCTGTACTTCATAAATTCTACCAAATGTACTAGTTATGGTTTGAGGGATTTATTTTTTTTGAAAACATATCCAGAGCAAAATTCACTAAAAATAGGTAATCAAACAAAAATAAAATTACAACTTCATTAAAGAGCATTTAAACTTCATTAAAGAGCTAAGAAACTTACAACTTCATTAAAGAGCATTTTAGATTGCCAATGATGACATATTTTATATCAAAAGTTTTAACAAAAGGCAGATTTGACACACTTTGTCATTCTCAGACTCACATAAACCAGGGGACAAGAACTACCTCGGGGTGAACGATGTCGGGCTGTGTTTCCTCCATCTTCAATTGGTCTGGGGTTTTGCAGCCAGGGATGAAAAGCAACATGTTAGATGTGTCTGCTATCTTCAAGTCATAGGTTTTGTCTTTACTGCACAACACGGCTTGCTCCTCTTTATCACCACGAATCACAAGACTAGAGGACGATGGAGGGGAAAAGGAATGATTTATTCAGAGGCTAGTGGACATTTCACTTTCAAATAGTCCCAAAATCCTCTGGCTTCTAGATTTAAAATTAAGCCTGTTTCTGGCCCCTATGGTACAATGACGGATTCCACAAAGCAAATATTGGGTCCTGTGAGAGCCAGCCAGCTATCTGGCACATCACCAAGAGAAATAAACACAGGCAAGAAAGACTTAAAGAGGCCAGGAGGCCAAATGTGCTACATACATGCTGGGAAGAGCACAGATAAAGCATATAGAAGCATCAGTCAAGATGCCATGATTTTCAGCTGACTGAGGGAACACACACTTGTAACCCTAGCAATAAAGAGGTGGAGGGAGGATCAGGAGTTCAAGGCTATCCTCAGCTACATAATAAATTTTTACACAGTGAGTTCAAGGTCAGCCTGATCTACACATGGAGAGAGAGAGAGAGAGAGAGAGAGAGAGAGAGAGAGAGAGAGAGAATGAAAGAAAAGATCACTTTTCATTTTTAGACAGGGACTCACTATGTAACCTGGACTAGCCTAGAACTTGCTATATAGCCCAGATTGGTCTCCACTTCAGAGAGATCTGCCTGCCTCTGCCTCCCAAGTACTGGGATTAAAGATGTGCACCACTACACAAGACGACACAATCTTCTATAACAGGCTAAAGAGGTACTTCTTAAGATTATACATGCACATCTTGGGTGAATTTTGTTACAAAGCAGACTGGGCTATGGAAGGTCTGGGATGAGAACTAGGATTCTGCATCTCTAACAAGTTCCCAAGGGATGAGTATGCAGACCACGCCTGGTACCCACACTAGTCACCCTTGTTTGATTCTAAACAATCAGTGGAACAAACCCTGGTCTAATCAGCAGCTATGTGGCAAAGAAACTGGGACCTCAGGAGAAGACGGCCGAAATCCTGCATGAAAAAATATGAAAAGGAGATGTGTACAAACTGAACTACAGACTCTGAGGAAAGAGGTTTATCACAGTTGAGTAAGAGCGAGAAGGATGGAGGACAAAGGTGAAGAGAAGAAGAAAGACAAAGATAATGGAGATGACAGAGCATTGTTGGTCCTAAAAGTTTGCCTTGCTGATGACGTGTTTTACTCATCTCTGTGCAGATCACTTCTCTTAAACAATCAAGAACCTATAATAGGGGCCAGAGACATGGCTCAGCAGTGAAGAGGACCTGGGTTCAAATCTCAGCACCCATATGGCAGCTAACCATTGGTAACTCCAGTTCCAGGGGATCCAAAGCCCTTGTCTGTCCTCCATGGGCACTGCCTGACACGGGTGCACTTACACGGGTACAGACCATACATTCATACACATTAAATAAAAATACATGAATCAAAAACAATTTTTAATTATTAAAAAAATTTAAAAACCTATAATAAAAGACTCAAAAATTGTAAACTAAACCTTTAGTTTAAAGAACAAAATTTTTTTTAGATTTCTGGTGGCAATGTTTACTAGGTCCAAGGTTCTAGTCTTTAACACTCATTTCTGCATGTCACTATTCCCACTTGAAAGCATTCTGTCAGGCAGGGCCTGGTGTAGCACGCCTGTATTCCCAGCACTGGAAAACTGGAGGCAGAAAGATCACAAGTCAGCATCATCCTTGGCCTCAGAGAAAGTTTCAGACCAGACTGCCTAGAGACACCATCTCAAAATTAAAATAAAAAGAAAGGAAGAAAGAAAACAAGAAAAGGGGGGAGGGAAACAAATTCAAAAGGCATGTTTTCAGGTACTCACGTTGTCAGTTAAATTAACTATTTAATTACTATACATTAACTGGATAAAGAAAAGCTCCTCACACTTTGAGTCCTTCTCAATCTCTGACTCAGCTGGGGTGGAAACATATTAAGTGAAGTTTTTCTTCAATTCTCTTAAGGATAGTTTATGGCTAATGTGTGAAGCCTGGCCAGTTATCTAGAACATGGTGTGATGAGTCAGGTATGAAAATTCAGAGAGGGCTTAAAGACCTATAAGAGAGGAAAATACCCAATTAAATACACCTGTCAAAGGGCAGTACAGAAGCGAGCCAACTTGCAGGGGTTGGTAGTCCTCAGTCAAAACTAGTTTAGGGACCTGGTAAGGTGGCTCAAGGTGTTTACCCTCAAGCCTAATAACCTGAGTTCAATCCCTAGACTTAAATGTTGGAAGGAGAGACCCAACACTCATGCACTTCCCAATAAATAAATGCCATTTTAAAAATTAAAAGAAAAAGGAATAGTTGAGAGATTCTCAAATGGAAATCTCAACACTGCCTTCAAAGTTTTTATAAGATTTACTGCTGACTGTGGTGATGCACGCTACTAGAATATGCTAAAGCGGTAGAGGCAGGAGGATCACCATTTTTAAGCTAGCCAGGACTACACTTTTGTCTAGGTGTAATAACACTCCATCTTTAATTCCAGCCATGACAGGTGTATGGATCTCTTATAAGCCAGAGGCCAGCCTGATCTACATAGTACATTCCCGACTAGACAGGGCTACACAGTGAGACCATGTGTCCAAAAAAAGTACTGTCTCAGATTAAAACTAATAACACTGAAAACTCCAGACTTAAAAGTACACATATATTCTTTCATATATTGCTGTGACAAACTTTTTTTTAGTTTTATTTGACAAGTTCATACATGTATATAATGTATGCTGATTCCTTTCCCCTCCTCACCCTCTCTTATCTTCTTCCCATCCCTGTAACTTTTGATGTGTGTGTTTTGTTTTGTTTTGTTTTTTTCCTTATACTGGAAACTGAATCCACAGCTTTCACTCTCAGCAACACCCTGAGTCACTACTTCAACTGTTTTTGACAGGACTGAAGTTTGAACATTATGCCATTAGACAAGTTCTCTACCACTGAGCCGGGACCAGTCCCTGCCCTAGTTTAGCATTTTATTTGTTGGTTTTGGTGAGGTTTTTATGTCTGTCTTGTTTGTGACAGGGTCTCATTGTGCAGCCCTGGCTGGCCTAGCATTCACTTTGTAGACCAGGCTGCCCATAATTCACAGAGATTAGTGGGATTAAAGGCTACAGGTCAGTACACCTGTTGCTTTTTTTTTTTTTTTTTAAGACAAGGTCTCACTATGCAGTATTGGCTGGCTTGGAACTTGCTATGTAGACCAAGCCCCTTCCTTTTAAAATGCAAGGTCTTGGCAGTAAATATGCAGTAGACATGGAATTAAAAATAGCTTCAGGTCTCCAGTAAATGACCTCAACCAAGTGTGCAATATACATGTCCTACCTATTGTTAGAGTAAAAACTGTAGGTGGAAAGCCAGATCTCTATAATACTAGACATCGCAGTTATAGTTTGAGATATAAGACAAAGCGTTGTGAGATCCTTTGCAACATTGTTAAGGCCTTCACACTTTCCCTGGAGTTCTCTTCCTGACATTTCCCCGCTGGTACGAGTCTCCAAGTTCAGCTAAACCAGTCTTACTCATGACTAAGGTCCAGCCAACTGGTCAGACTAGCAAGGTCGTGGACTGCCCTGGGCAGATGACAGCGGGCTGGGGCTCAGGCCACCAGCCAGTGGGCGACCCCTGGGTCAGTGCATCATCGCTCTTCATTCTGACTTCTCCCTCTAAGAGACCGAGCAGGGGCCATGCACGAGCCTGGGGGTCTGCGCGTCGGGGTCCCCGGGCTCCAGCTCACCTGTGTCCGGCCTCCAGCTGCTGGCACAGCGCGGGCTCCAGCTCCAGCAGGCAGAAGTCGCCGCCGGCCGCGCCGCTGGCACCCGGGCCGAAGCGCAGACAGTGCACGGTGGGCAGCAGCTCCGCGGGGTTCAGCTTGGCGATCTGCAGCGTCGCGTCCACCTCCTCGCGGGTCCGCATCGCGGCGCTGGGACCGGACATCCCGCAACACCAGGAGGGGAGTGGCTTTGGCAGACAGGACCAGAGCTCACCCCGGGAAGAGAGCTGCGGAGCTGACAACTAGAGGTGCCGGAGGCTTCAAAAGCGCGCCAAGGCGGCTGAGGGCGGGCTTCCGGGGCGGAGCGCGACGCAGACTGTCCGAAAGCGTCCACGTGCGCAATCGCCTAGCAGTGGGCTTATCGCAGGCGCATCCTCCGTGTAGGCGGGGACACAGCTTCTGGCCGGGTACTCGGGGAAGGTACCGGGAGCGATTTTGAGACCCCCGCTAGAGCCACAGGAGGAACTCGCACCGCCCCTTCCGCCAGCCTGCGCCCCACCCCCTTACTTCCCCAAGGCTTCTTTCCCGGGTGGCAGTAGTGGGTCCTGGGATTAGGAATTTGCATGCAGATTTTTGTAACCGTGTAAATCATGCTCCTGGTCAGAGCGTTATACACATAGAAGCAGATTCCTGCCCGTGGTGGCACAGCTTGAAGTTGGAAAGTCTGATTCCGGCCTAGTCTTTGTGGCTCTAAAATCTTCTTGCCCAGTTTTGTGAAGACAGTCCAGCACCAGGAACTAGATCGGCATCTCACTTGTTTGGGCTCTGAGACCATCCTAGATGGAAGACAAGTTGTCGAATAAACTACTTCATCTGCGCTTAGGGGAACATGTGACACTATCAAAAGGAAAGCAGGCAGGCTTTCTGGGGCTGGCAAGGCCCTGTTGGCTCCAGGGAGAATCAGAAACTCAGCACCACGGACTGTGAGGTCTTGTTGACCAGAGTTTTAAAATGAACCTCCAGGAAGTTGTCACAGCTTGATGTGTGAGCTCCCTGGGGATGCCAGCAGAACCCCACCACCCCGCCCCTGCCCGATGGACTCTGGCTCTCTTTGAAAAGTGAAGCAGCCTGGGAGGAATATTTCTCTTTAGAGAGTTTGGCCTCCTACTTGTTTAAGCCAGACTTTGGTTGTAGTAAAAGAATGTATTGAAGGGTGGTGAAGGGTTGAAATAGAAGCAAATGAACAGGTAGTTGTTTTTTTTCGGTTCTTTGGTAGAATAATGTGAAAACAATAGACCAGGGTGTCCCACAGGTCTGTGTGGAGCTGTAGTTGGTGGAGGAAAGGTTGGCATATTACTTAATGTATCTTCTCTCTCTTTTTTAAAATTTTATTTATTTTTATTTTATACGTATGCATGTATTGCCTGCATGTAGGTAAGTGCACCCGTGTCGTGCAATGCCTCCAGAGGTCAGAAGAGGCTGTCAGATCCCCTGGGACTGGAGTTATGGACAGTTGTTAGTTGCCATGTGGGTGCTGAGATTCGAACTTGGGTCTTCTACAAGAACAGTCAGTGTTCTTAACCACTGCACCATCTCTGTATCTTCTCTTTTAAAACATCTGAATCCAAAAAGAAAATGATGGAGCATTGTGCTGAATATGAAGGCCTTGAGAATTTATTATTGGGGGCCAGGGAGATGGCTCAGCAGGTAAAAGCACTTGCCTGACAACCTGAGTTCAATCCCCAGAACCCTCAGTGGAAGGAGAGAACCAGCTCCCAAGTTGTCCTCTGGCATCCACACATATACCATGGCACACACATGCCCATAATCTCACACACATTACACACACACACACACACACACACACACACAATAATAATAATAAATTAAAATTTTGAAAGAGAATTTATCACAGGGAAGATAGCCATCCACTGCACTTGCACTGTTAAAATGAAAACATTCAGACTGGTGAGATGGGTCAGTGGGTAAAGGTGCTTGCTCCTAAGCCTGATGATCTGAGTTCAATCCCTAGGACACATGGTAGGAGAGAACCAACTCTGACTTCCACGTACATGCCACAGAAGGAATTGCATGTACATACATGCACATGCGCACACACACACACACACACACACACACACACACAAATAATAGGTTTCTGAAGGGGAGGGAACATTCCTTACAAACAGAAGTAGTGTAAGGAGAACAGGGACATTTTCATTAGCTAGGCCTGGCTTGGACTACTACGTAGCTCTGTCCTCGGTGTTTTGTGGCATCTGCCAATTACTTTTCCTAGCTGAAATTCCTTATTTGTGAAATATATGTCAAGCCTAGGCTACTTAATAAATGGCAACTGGGTTTTAGTTCTTATTTACCATCACTAATTTTTTTAGTGTTTTATTATTTTTTATGTGTATGAGTGTATTGCTTGCATGTATATAAGTGCACTCAAGTCGTGCAATGCCTGTGAAGGACAGAAGAGGGCTTCAGATCCCCAAGAACTGGAATTACAGACAGTTGTTAGCTACCATGTGGGTGCTGGGATTCAAACCCAGGTCCTTTGCAAGAGCATCCAGTGCTTCCCAACTGCTGAGCTATCTCTTCAGCCCCCGTCACTAATTATTGAATAATTTCATTTCTATAATGAGATCAAGTTATATTAATTACATTTCTGATTGCTGGGACAAAATACCCTGAAAACCAACTTAAAGAGGGGTTTATTTGGGCTTACAGTTTGAGGAGATACAGTCCATCCCAGTGGGAAAGGCATGGTGGCAGGAGCAGGACATGCTGAGCAAGTTGTACCTGCAGTCAGGAAGAGTAGAGAAATGAATGCTTTCAGTCCAGTACCCCAGTCCATGAAATGGTACTGCTCACATTTACGGTGGCTCTTCCCATCTCAACTAACCTAATCCAGAAAATCCTTCATAGACATGCCCAGGGGGCTTGTTTACAGGGTGATTCCAAATCCAAATATCCTGTCACAGAGGAGATAGACTCTCATGAGGCACCCACCTCTCTGTGAGAATTTATAGGTAGCTAATGGTTGCTGGGTGAGGGAGAAACATTTTCTTTAGTGGTTTAGTCACTGGTAAAATGCCCAAGCTCATGTAAATAACCTCTCACCCATATGCCTGTAAGCAACTCTAATGAAACTCATGCTCCCCATCTGAGGCAGGCAACTCAGCAGCTTCAGTCTGGAAGCGATAACTTCCACATCAAAGAACTTAAATGAAGAACCCAGGAATTCATGTCAAGGAGCATGCCTAGATTACTGGAGGCAGTTAGTATGAGGAAATCTACCCCTATGGAGAGACAGCATAACAGAGGAGCTTCCAGAGTGGCCTCTACAGTCAGAACAGCTGGGGTCAACCCCCACCCTACCTTTGCTCTACTAGGGAAGATTCGCATAGTCCCCTTTGAGCCTCAGCTTTCATCTGAAAAATGGGAAGAAAAAGTGGCTGATTCACAGAATTATTTTGAAGTGTAACATTTAACATATGTAACTCCTTGGGAACATGACCAGGCATATAGAAATGGCTTAGTAAGTATAATCTATTATTATTCCATTAAAAAACTCTCAACTCTACCTAACTCAATAGCTCCCTTAAAAGTTAAAATAATGTGCCTGGCATGGTAACTTGTGCCTATAACCCCCACACTGAAGAGGTTGAGACAGGCCCGGGCTACAGAGTTCTAGATAAGTAAAGAAATAAATTTATTAATTCACAGATATTAGCCAGGTCTGGTGGTGCAGGCCTATAAGCCTAGCATTTAGGAGACTGAAACAAGTGGTAAAGTGTTTACCTTGCATACGCCCTGCGTTTATGAATGGATGAATTGTAGTAAACCCCCTTGTCCTTTAAGGACAGTAGCACTTGGCTCACAAAGAGTTAACAGACTTCTCTGGATTCTGTTGATGTAGAGGCTTGAGGAGGGGGAAGTCTGTTCCCAGAATGCTGGGAAGAAGACCAGACAAGCTGCCCTTGGGATGCCAGGGCAGGTGTAGGCCCCCTTTTATGTTTCTACGTACCTCAAAGGAGGTCTGTTACTGGGCCAGTCTCCACAGCCTTCGGTGCACTTTGCTTGCTTTCTCACTGTTATGATGGGAAAATTCCTATGTGTTTTGCACTGATTGAACACTTATCATATGTAAACTCTGTGTGAACTTCAAACATTGAACTTTCAATGAAAGCTCTCAAGAGGATAGTAAAAGTGCTCTTGAGCGGACAAATGCCTAGGGTTCCCTGGTTTTAATTTCTAATTTCTTAGTTTTTCAGAATCAGTCAAGTGGTGGGGGCGGTGCTCAGTGAGGCTACAATTAATAACAAGTCAAGGATGATGATTCATGCCTGTAATCTGAATACTTGGGAGGCTAAGGCAGGAGGGTGAATTTGAGGCTTGCCTGGGCTACATAATGAGATCCTATCAAACAAGACAAGACAAGACAAGACAAGACAAGACAAAACAAGACAAGACAAGACAAGACAAACAAAAATCCGAAGGGCTGGCAAGATGACCCAGTGTGTAAAGGTGCTACCACTGAGCCTGACAACTTGAATTCTATCCTCAGAACTCACATGTTGATAGGAAAGAACTGTCTCCTGAAAGTTTGTCCTCTGACCTCTACAGGTGTGTTGTAGTGCTTGCACACACATGTACACAAAGTAAATAAATATTAAAAAATTTTAAGTCCCAAAAGTTAATTAATTAAATAACACATATTAGCCAGGCATGGTGGTATATACCTATAATATCAGCATCAGGAGGCTGAAGCATGAAGATTACAACTTGAACTGCAAAGTAAAAAACCTGTTTTAAATAAAACAGAGATAAATATATAAAATAATTTTCATTTTATTTTTGTATAAAATTTGTCACAGTATAAGCTTTTTGTTGTGCATAATTTAAAATATTTTCATGATGCTTTGACAGCATAAACTAAATGGAAAATGAGTCACATAGTTGAAATAATGGATATTTCAAAATTCAAGAGAACATAGAAGGCTTAATGAGGTAGGTGTACTCAGATGTTTGCAACTCCTTTTAGTGGATAATTTTAGATTAAGAAAATGAAGAAATGAAGACCTTATTTTGCTGAATAATGCCATCATTTCTTTTTATTTGGAAACTTAAAATTTGGATAAATGATATACTTCATGCCAGCATGGTAGTGCATGCCTGGAATCCCAGCACTAGGGAGGCAGAGGCAGAAAGATCATTGCAAGTCTGAAGTCGGCCTGGTCTAAGTATCAAGTTCCAGGCCAGCCAGGGATATATAGTGAGACTGTGTATCAGAAAAGAAAAGAAAAAGAGAAGGAAGAGAAAAAAGAAAAGCAAAATATATGTTTAGGGTTTTTTTTACATTTTATTTATTTTGGGGGGGGCGTGGGTTGGTGTGCTTGTGGAGGTCAGAGGACAACTTGCAGGATTCGGTTCTCTCTTCCTTGCGGGTTTTGGGGATGGAACCCAGATCATCAGGTCTGGAGGCAAGTGCCTTTACCCATTTGCTGAATATATTGGCTGGCCCACTATATTCATTTATGTAGTATATTTTTTATTGGATTTTTGTATATTTCATAAAAGTACCTTAATCATCTTTATACCCCCTCCACCATCTGCACCCTCCCATAGCCCCACCCCACTGAATTTCAGGCATTGCATCATTTGTGTTAAGTCAGTGTACTCAGATGTCCCTCAGTGTAAGTTCATTCACTGGAGTCTAGACAGCCTATCTAGAGTCACTCCCTTAAAGAAGATCAACTCTCTCTCACCCAGCAGTAACCAGCTGCCAATTGTTCCTCAGCTAAAGTTGGGGCCTGCGACCCATTTCCCCAGTTCCATGCTGAGTTTTGTCATCTTGAATTTACATGGGTCTTGTGCATGCTGACACCACTGCTGGGGTTCATATGAGCATACACAGAGTTGTGTTGCATGCTGTAGCTGCCACATGCAGACGAAGTGCTGTTTGCTTTGTGGATAGCACACAAATAAAAAGTAGAGTCATTTTACTCAAAAATGAACCTTTTCTGGCTAAGGCTTGAGCAGCAAAAAGTACAATATTTTGTTGATGTATACAGCAACTGCATTCCTATTTAGGATTATGTTAAAATTGTACTGAAACTGTCTCCTAAAAAAGACAATTGAGATTCGGAATAATTCAATTCTTTGTGAAGTATTGTCCTAAGGAAATGTGATGTCTAACTCCCTGATCACTAAAATCCAGTAGCAACCTAATAATATAACAGATTGTAACCCCGACTCTTAAACTTCCCAACAGAACGTCTGGGAGATAACCATAGATTCACAACCGTTTCATGTCATTGCAAAAGTAATCGGTAGGTGGCAGCACAAACCAATGTATTGAGCATTCACTGCCCTCAGTGGAGCGCTCCCCAAGAGAAACTCTCAGCTTACCTGGTAATGCTCTATTTCCACTGCTATGAAATAGAAACACAGAAATTTTACAGAGTATTTTGTCTATTGACTCCCACAAAATTGAGCATGTGTTATGCATGTATTTTTATTTCATTTATATTGTATTTCATTAAGGTATCATACTTCAATCATCTGAACACACACACACACACACACACACACACACACACACACACAGAGCAGAGGCAGGCAGATCTGGAGTTCAAAGCCAGGCTTGGCTACATATGGCATTTGAGGTCAACCTGGGCTACATGGGACAAAAACAAAAATTATTCCCATTTGGAGAAGTAATATCGGGTTTCATCACCCAAAATTGTTTTGTCTTATGTTAAGGTGCTTTTTTTTTTTTTTTTTTTTTTTTTTTTTTTTTTTGTCTTTTTGAGACAGGGTCTCCTTGTAGCCCCAGCTGTCCTGGAATTCACTATGTATACCAGGCTGGCCTTGAACTCACAAAGATCCACCTGCCTCTGCTTCCCAAGTGCTGGGATTAAAGGCGTGCGCCACCATGCCTGGCTAAGGTGTTATTTTATTAATGTTACAGAACATCTCTAGAAAGAATTATTCTTGTTTTATCAATAGAAAACTGAGAAGAGATTGAGAATTAGCATAAGATTGCAAAGTTATCAAATGACAGAACCAGGATAAAAACTGTATGGTTGGGTGAAAAACCTGTGCAGAATATTGATTTTCTGTGTAGTAATTACAAGATTACGACATGCGAAACAAACACCTGTTACTCTAAGTAAGTCTAGGGCATGACCTTCATACTTTGCAGAATGGGACTCTTGGAATCACATTTAACTAGAACCTGTCTCTCTTAGTCCGCCTTTTTGTCATTGTCTTTTTGTAAACATTAATAAGCTTAAATAATTTCTTTTGGCAACGAGTAGCCTGTTATTTCCTTTCTGGCATATGGCTGAGCGCAGCCTTGATAATTTATGGAACTAGCATTCAAGGGCTGCCTAACTTTCTAGGTGTGAAACTTGGGCAAATTATACCTTTTTAATTTGTACTTGAAAATAATACACACTAGGGTTTCTTGAGGATAGATTAAACAATATAAACAAGGCTCCTAGTGTCATGTAAAACAATTAATGCTCAACAAACATTTGTAATTTTTCAGCTAATGTTAAGGAGTGGTTTTTAAAATGTTGGAAAATATGAATCTGATTTTTTTTCGAGAGAGAGAAGAGAGAGAGAGAGAGAGAGAGAGAGAGAGAGAGAGAGAGAGGTTTGTAATCCCAGAACTTGGAAGGTTAAGGCAGGAGGATCATGAGTTTGAGGTCAGCCTGGGATAGCAAGGTCAGCAAGATCCCCCCTTCTCTCTCTCTCTCTCTCTCTCTCTCTTAAAAGAAAATATTTTAAATCTATCTTGTCTATATAGATAGGGCTTGTCTATCTATGAGAGACTGTGGAGAGGGCTTTGTGTAGAATCAAATAAGTGTTCTAAAGGTATATGTGAAGCTTCTTTTAAAAGCTGATCTACCATAAAAGACATGACCTCTCAATAGCACCTATGCAGTAGTTTACAGACCAAAAGTGAAAGCCCACTTCTTATGTATATTTTACACCAACTGTCATTCAAATGTATTTGTACTGACTGTTCTAAAGGCTTAATGTATTGCTCTCTTTTTGTCAAGTTTATTGTTTTTTGTTTATTTTATGAGACAGAATCTTTCTATGTAGCCCCCCCTTGGTTCAAACTCACAATCTTCCAGCTTCCACCTATGAAGTGCTGGGAATACAGGCGTGTCATCATGCCTGGGAAGAGGCAGTTATTTTAGAATACTGTCCGGAAGCCAGAATGACACTTAACTGCTTGCTTGCCTTAGACAAGTTACCTCCCCTCTCAGAGTCGGCTTCCTAGTGTAAAACGAAGGCAATGCCCAGCTGATGACTGCTGGAATAATAAAGCAAGTAAATCACCTATCTGAAGCATTTTTAAGGCGGCAGATGTCCACAGGTGCTGGCCACAATTATTTTAAGAGGGGAATTAAGCACGTTTAGGTAACCTTGGGAATGGAGCTGGATCCGAGGTCTGTCTGAACCCCGGGCCAGTATCCTTTACAGATTCCATGGTAGTTGTGCACTATCTATGGGGAGAGGGGAGAGTAGAATGCTGAATTTCTCCATGCCCTTCAGTGATACTATATCCTCAACTGCTCGCTATTTGAGTATGTTCTCATTTTTATTCTCTGAAACTGGGCTATGGAAAGTATAATAACGCAAAATTCCACAGCGTGAGCTTTGGGAGTGGGGGGGAAAAAAAAGGAGAAAATCTGTGGAGCTCAACCTCCAGCAGCACACACGCAGAACCGGCGCCCCGCCCAGATGTTTATATTTTCCTCCTTTGGCCCCTCCCCCGGCCACGCGGGCACCCAGGCCACGCCCCGAAACCGGAGTTCCTGGGGCGGGACTCGCCCGGCGCTTTAGCTCCTCCCCAGGGATTCCCTCACCAGCCAATCCCAATCCATCCATGGGACCGCCCGGAACAAAGATGGCGGGGACCCCCTCCGTGAGGGCAGACTGATTCCCAACGCCGGGCACCCGGGCGGGACAGTCAAGGCAGCGAGTGGCAGCCGCACGGTCCAGACCATGGAGGAAGGCGGCAGCGCTGGCAGCGGCGGCAGCGACAGCAGCACCGGCGGGAGCGGCGGGGCGCAGCAGAGAGAGCTGGAGCGCATGGCAGAGGTCCTAGTCACCGGGGAGCAGCTCCGGTAAGGCGAGATGCACTGGTGGGCTCGCGGTGGCACTACCAGCCCGTGCCCGCTGCGATCCTGCGCGCACGCGCGATCTGGCTCGTGGCTGGCGCGTCGCGCAGGGCGCGGGGCCAGTTGCAGGCGCGTGGAGGGATGGTTTGCGCGGCGCGGGCGCCTGGCTGTTGTAGCCGGGGGACTCCCTGCTCCAGCCGCGCTGCGGGAACCGATGCCGATGCCCAGCCCGGCTGCCGCAGCCCTGCGTCCGCAGACTCGCCATCACACACCGCGCACTCCCTGTGCCAGGTCACCAGGCTCTGCCAGGTCTCCCAGATGACAGCCCAGCCTACTCGGTCCAGAAAAAAGAGGGGTCGGTTCTTATAAAAGGAACCACTCCCAGATAAAAAGAGCCAGCGCAGTGATTGCCTGTGGCTCAGTGGTTTTTTTTTTTTTTTTTTCTAGCGAGGCATGCTTCCCTCCCCCGTGCCTCAGTTTACTCGTCTGTAAAACGGGGCGGATCACCTTAAAGGGGTGCAGGGGAGGTTCACCTGTGAGAACCTTTCAGATACCTTTTACCTGTCCTTTAATTGCCACTTCGTCAGTCGTCGTCTGGGTCCGCAAGGGGGCGTGGAGATATCTGGTGCGGTGCCCACGTTTTGGGCCATGGACTTGGGTGGATCGACAGCACTGCTGCAAGAATTAGGACTTGGGTCCCACAAACGCAGAAACAAGCACCGACCCTCTGGACCCTCTGCCGTTCCCATCCCTTCCTGTTCCTTTTTCTTGGGCATATGTTTAAGACTCGTGCTTAGATTTGACTGCTTCCGCAGCTGTCGGTGGTGCGGTCATAAATCAGTTTGCCAGGAAAAAAGAATCCGGTTCTGCCGTGTTTCGTCCACTTGAACGGTGTCCCTGTTCTACCAAAACAAGCCCCAACTCCCTCGAGTTCTTGGCCTGAATGTTCCGCCTAATTTTGGTTTCTAAATGGCTGTTTCAAGACTTGAAGGAGAATACTGCAAAGGTCTCTGGAGGTCTGGTTAACCACCCAGCTTTGCAGCGCTCCGTTTGAGGAAGTCAATGTTGGAAACCGGGATTCATTGAGTTCAGTGTGACAGATGGAAAAATCGAACATTTCTGTTCCTTGTTGTAATTCTAAGTGTGTGGCTGAATTTAAAGGGGATTAAAAACTTGTTTTTCCCTCATCAAGACTGCTTTCTAATTAAAAAGATGACGTAAAGCTTTTCTGATTCAATCTTTCTTAATAGTTTAATTTCCTTGCTGTTGTTACGATATTGCCTTTTCAAAAGGCTTCCTTTGGATACGTTCCTTTTTATTTCTTTTACAAATATTAAAGGGCATAAGGACTTCTCGAGTCTCAGAATGTCTTTCTCCTTCAAGATGCTCATCCTCAAATGCCCCCTTTTTCACGGTCCCTGCAGGCTTGAAGTCTTTCTCATCACCTTTTCTGGTGACTGAAGGGCCATCCTGGAATGCTGGTAAACAGATGGTTGGAACTCGGGTCAGACCTGGGTTTGAGTTTCTGGTCCTCCACTGCGTTATCATGACTTTGTTTCCAGGAGGGCTTTATGCCAGAGTGAATCCTGGCCTTCACTAGTATAAGGCCTTGGATGAGTTATTTAATTAAGAAGGATGAGTAAGAATGGGATGTACACTGAAGTGTTATTATGAGGATTGTGTGGAGTTAGTGCTTAGGCCAGGGCTTGATACATAGTAAGCACCATATAATCATTAGCTAGTGTAGCCATGACCTTGGACACATTCATTCACTTGTCTGAGCTGTTTCCTCGTTTGTAAAGTGACAATAAAGATAAAAATGTTTCATGGGGTGCTTTTGAGAATTTGCCCCTGAGCATCCGGTATTGGTGAGCAATCCAAGTGCCCGCTGGAATTAATTGGTATTACTGATCTCTCTCTGTCAGTGCAGTAACTTCCAGCCTTGGGATAGATGTTTGGAGGGAGGGACTGAGTGGTTGTTCAGAGCACAGGATATAGAACCAGCTGTCTGGATTTTTCTTCTGTCTCTGCCATGTGTTACTTCTGTGACCTGGGGACAACTGACTTCCTCTCTTGCCTCAGTTTCCTCTTTATAAAAGGAGATTTGGAGGACAATTCTATTTCAGGAGTTTGGGGAGCATTGAAATGTCTTAAGCAAAGTTGGATGTGGTATCACATACCAGCACTTGGGAAACATGAGGATTACAAATTTAAGGTCAGCCTGCCCTGTGTAGTGAGTACCAGGCCAGCAAAACCCTGTCTCAAAAAAATAAATAAATAAATAAATAAAAAAGTAAAAAATAAAGAAAGAAAAAAGAAAAGAATGTCTGAGTAAATGTTAGCCATTTAAATTTACTTTGGAGAATTTAAAGTCAAAGTTTAAAATTGACTTTGGACGCCAGGTGTGGTAGCGCATGCCTTTAATTCCAGCACTTGGGAGGCAGAGGCAGGCAGATCTCTGTGAGTTCAAGGCCAGCCTGGTCTACATAGTGATTTCTAGACCAGCTGGGACTACAGGTAGACACTGTCTCAAAAAGACCAAAAAAATTTTTTTTACTTTGGAGAATCCAACAATTGAACTTTTTGATTCGTTTGTTTTTATTTTGTAAGAGCGCTTTGCCTGCATGTGTATACAAGTGCACCATGTGCGTCAGATCCTCTGGAACTGAAGTTACAGATGGTTGTTAGCTGCCATGTGGGTGCTGGGAATTGAACCTGGGTCCTCTGCAAGAGCAGCCAATGAAATGTTCTTAACCTCTGAGTTATCTCTCCAGTCTCAACAATTGCAATTTCAACTATTTTAAAGCAATTTAGAAAACATCTTACTGTGTGTGTGTGTGTGTGTGTGTGTTGAGTGCACATGCCACAGATTGCATGTGAAGGACAGAGCACAATTTTCAGGAGTTGATTCT